ATTAATTGAACATTTAGTAAAAATTAGCAAAAGGTAAAAACAGTGAGCTAAATAACAATAAACTGAAGCTAAGTAATGAAAAATGTGTTTGTGAAAATTTTCAACATTTCATTTTACACTTGGCTAAATTAACTTTTTTATTTATTTTCTGTCTGTTTTATCACATTCAACTAATTAAAGTTAAAATCATATAATTATTCAATAAAAAAGGTATCACAATACTAGCCCTGTATTTACTTAATATTGGATCAATACCCAAATTCTTAGCATCTCTCACCACTACTACAAAGTGTTATTTTACAAAGTTCAATTAAAATAAATTGTACTACTTTTACAAAGTAATGGTCAAACTTTTCCAGCGCAGCTTTACAGACGTTAACTTTCGCTTCATCTTTTACCTTTAAAAAAGTAAAGAAGCATTTACTTTGAAGTAATTAATATAGTTTTGTCCCAGTACTGGTATCAGTATCAGGCCTGATACCAGCATATAAGAAACAATRAAGRAACATAAGTCAACACCCATTCAYTTATTTAGGACAGTGGTTCTCAACCTTTATYGACWTGTGTACTCCCTGAGCCATTTTGTCATACCACTAGTACCCCCTCAGTCAAAWATAATYATGATTCTCCAAAACTATAATGTACAACAACTGATTATMAAATGAAAATTATTTGTTTAACTCCTAGAATGTTTAATCCTCAGGCATTTTATTCTTTTCAACTCAAATTAAACATATTTTTTTATGGATGGCCTCCCTTCTCCCCTTATAGCCATCCCCTCCACACCATTATGTTTTATTTTATTTTTTAAATTTTTTTAAATTTTTTTGTGAAGAGAGAGAAAAACAGAGAGAGAAGTAATTAGAAAGATAGAAAGACTGAAATAGCGATTAGGATTATATTAAATATACACCAACAAAACACAGGACCACACACCCAACATCTGTCCGCTCACCTGAAAAATAAATGGATAAATACATAGAGGGCAGGGCCGGATTAACACTTCGCTGTACCCTGGGCAACAATATTCAAGGGCCCCATCATCACGACCCCAGGATTACCA